TAATTGACTTGTTGTACACGCGCATAGGACCCCGTGGGGTTTCCATAGACGATCTTAAAGCGGCCGCACAGAAGAGAAACTTTCCGTTTTTTGATAAAGTTGTGAAGAGGAATCCGTTCCTCTTGAATGACGCCACGAACGCTCTCGGCGAGAGGCTCGCGCATGTCGCAGTGAAATGTCTTGACGCGAAAGGCTTGGAAGAGCTGAAAATGAGGGGTGTTGACTTCGTCAAGTCGCGTACTCTGGATGACCACGGAACTCTCTATTACGCGTGCAAAGCGAACCGAGTAGAGGCGGTCAGATGGCTTCTAGGGCCGCCCAACAGCGGCTGCGAAGGAGAAATTCTAGCGAGTGACTTATCGCAATGCTTATTGCTCTCATGCGGGCTGGCGAAATCGAAGAACATAGTGAGCCTGCTGTTGCCGTTAGTATGGATTGACGAGAAAAAACAAGGAGAATATTATGCCACTTGTCTGCAGAGTGCGTGGGAGATCGGCAACCGCGAAGTTTTTATGATGCTGATCGATGCAACAGTGGAAAAAATAGATTTCCAGTATGTCCAGCCTTGGAGTTCGTTTTTGCTCTATTACGTCACTGAAGTTGGCGACCCGAACGGCTTGAAGAAAGTGTTCGAGTTTTTGATACCGGATTTTGACGCCTTGGGGTCTGTCGGATGCGATGCCCGACGAGATTTGGCGGACTCGCTTTTGAGCGCTCTCGAACTGTCAGTGTGTCGAGCGGCTTTGCGAGAAATGATGGAGACGTTGGCTGAAGACTCCGAAGATGAGAACTCATCCAACGAAAAGGAAAAGGTGGAAGAGTTGATTGACATCATTTCTGATCTCGAAAGAAAACTTATGAGGATTTCTGAGGAGCAAAAGTCTAATGGCATTGACCGAGCTTTGACAGGCATCCTGCCCAGGAATAAGACATTAGCTTCCTCGGCTAGATCGATCTCCGCGGCCTCCAACAGCCGAGCGACACGAGCAAAAATTTCTCCTCAGGGTTCACCGTGACGTTGAGAGTTGCTAATTTTCTCAATATTTTATAGCATGATTAGAGTGTTGTTCAGCTGCTGTGGTGGAAACTGTGTTGTGTTGATTATTTGGGCGGCATGGGAAAACGGTTGCCCTTCTACTTGTGGTTCGCAAAGTCGTCCTCTCGCCTGTCGCCGAGAAAGTCCTATCCACGGCAGAGACTAAAATGAGCTCAGATTGGAAGGATGACCCCAACGAGGAATGGATGTCGATACTGAAGGACTGCTTATTAGCAGTGAGATCATCGGTTCCGTGTAGCGCAACTAGGGTGAAACATTTTAAAGGAATTTCCAGGATCCCGCTTGGCCTTCCTCCCAAGTTGATTGACCGCTACCATTGAGTTTATCGCGTTGGGGCCCCATGGCATTAGGTTTTCAGGGCCGAGCTCGACAAACTGGGCCGAAAATATTTTTTTATGGGAGGCTTATGAAATAACGGCATTGAACGTTATTATATAATTCCGTCTGCAACGACGATACACTCGACTGAGTTGCGGAATCCGCTTTGCGTAGCACCTGGGGCGAAAACAACAAAACAACCAACGGCGAATAAAAACCCTAAAAATACAAATATTAACATCGAGCGTACATTCATATGGATGAATACAGCCACTGCCTCAGTGGCACTGAGTCCTCGACTCAGCGAAGAGGGAGATCCAGGAAACTTGACTGTGACGGATTCCATGCCGGTTAATGTGGTTCTATTCCCATTCTTTCCACAATCACAACAAACTGGGTAATTCCCTTCTTGTCACTCATGGGCACGCGAACGCCAACATACATCCTCCTTCAACCAACTGCTGTTCTACTGGACGAGTACTGCTTCGCGGTATACTGCGATCTGAGATTGCCACCTGTCTGACGGGCGTCAATAGTACCATGCGTGATGAAGGTCCGACAATTTTCGAGTTCTTATCTTCACCATAGAGACTGCGATTGGTTTATAGTGCGATTCAGCTCAACACAACTCAGTTGTAGAAAGACCTACTAGAGATACACGATAGCGTGTTACTAAAGAGTGATATTATAGTATTGAAAAAAATTAGCTGTTGGCGAAGGTGAGGCCATTCTGAATGTCGCCCTTCAACTTCTTCTTGACCTCCCCAAGGCGCCCCTTCTCGTACGCAGTTAGGCCCTCTAGTCGGTAAACTCTGGACACACCTTCAGGGCCAAAGTCACATCTATACGAGAAATACGAGACATCTTCGAAAGGCTCGTTGATATAGGCGCATGCAGCGGTAATTTGGCCGCGCTGACCACGAATAATAACGTCAACGAACTTAGCCGCCGCATAGGCCATTGACAGCGTAGCCGAACCAGCGCCGCTCTTCGCCTCGACAACCTCCGTACCAGCGTTCTGAATACGCTTATCCAGCTCTTCGATGCTCTCCTGTTCGAGCTTGACTTCGGGCCTAGCCTGGGAGAACAGCGTCATGATGGTCTCACCAGCGTGACCGCCAATGACGGGAACGTCCATATGCTCTACGTCCAGACCGGTTTTCTCACTCACGAATGTGTTTGCACGAGTGATGTCCAATTGGGTGACACCGACGATTTTCTTTGGGTCAAAAACTCCAGCTTTTTTGTAGATCTCAGCGGCGATGGGGACAGTGGAATTGACTGGGTTAGACACAATGCACAGCGTCGCCTTAGGGGCGTACTTAGCCGAGGCGGTCGCCAAGCCGCGAACAATACCAGCGTTGATTTTAAAGAGGTCATCTCTGGTCATGCCGGGCTTGCGAGGGACACCAGCTGTCATCACAATAATATTCGCGCCGGTTAGGGCCGCCTCAATCTCGTGGTCACCAGCATAGCCGACGACTTTAGCAGGAGTGTTAATGTGGCTTACATCAGCAGCTACTCCCGCACATGGGACCATGGCCTGCTTGATATCGTAGAGGGCGAGCGTGGTGATCATAGGGTTCAGCTTGAGGAGCATAGACAATGGTTGGCCGATACCACCGGAGGCGCCGAGGAGAGTCACTTTAGTCATGGGGTTAACAATGGCGATGAACTACATGGCGCAGTAGCTCGAAAACCACCGATAACAGGCCGTGACAATCCTACGCATAAGAGCGACAACAATGAGCAAGCAACTAATGGGACCCGAAATGCACCACGAGGTCTTGGTTCTTTCACATCCAACGCACATGTTACCCCGACTAACAGGAATCTATGTTCGCAAGTCAAGAACAATCGTCATTCTTGGGTGTGCGTATTAACAACAATGTGAAACGGTTGACATATCTTCTGTCGTAACCCCACAACTGAGCGCAATCACGACCGAGCGCAACACAACTGAGCGCAAAACTTCATGTAGGAAACTACAAGTGAGCTGTGACGACACGATCGGGAAAGATCGGCGCAAGTCGTATCGCGCACGCCCGAATATCTGTAGAGTGATAAGTATCTGAAACGATTGGATCTCTGTAACCGCTCGTTGGAGCGACCTTTGAAGTATCGACTGAGTATTAGAGTCTTATTACGGCTATTATTGCTGTAACGCTAGTCAGCGCTCTGAGTATATCTGTAACTGATTGAATCTAAGTTAGTCTTGTCGCGCTGAGTCTGGGATGGTTATTACACGCAGTGTCTATCAAGAGTCTGGTGAGCCTATAGTATCGCTAAGAGCATCTAGGATTCCTCGATTAAGGCTAGATCATCCTCTGCTTCTTCTCTACAGCACAGGAACCATCATGCGTCCAACATAGCTATCACTGCTGACGTCTCATCAACCGTCCCACCCTCACATTTTACCGGGATTGGTATTCCCGCCCAATCGTCTGGCTCTAAGAATCAAGACTATGAACGTCTACCTCATAATCGAGTTGGAGACCCTAATGAGCTACAGCATCATTCTACACTGGTACAAGAACATCATCCTCGAGCTCACATGTCGGATCTAAATCTACAAGATCCTCTATCGGTGCAAGACCATTTTGTTCAACCTGAATCACGTGATCATTTTCGCAATGATCAAGGCTTGATACGAGACCATTCTCTTCATGCTGGGTATTCGGATCCCTTGCGTAGGGATCAGGTTCCGTATTATGACCAATCTCCTCATGTTGGGAACTGCTATCCGGTCCCTCTTACAAACCGGGCTGTCCTAACGAGATTGAACTCCTTACGAAAGGATCAAGGGTCAGCTCTATCGGACCAAACTCCCCAACAAGAAGATCAACATCCTTTGCGAAAGGATCCTCGGTCTCCAGTATCTTGCCCAACATCCCAGGCTGAACTCGATATTCTATGGAAGAATCGTCTATCCTTGCCGATACATCATCAACGAGCCGAAGGTTCCAATGGTTCTAGAGACGAAGAATGTCATCAATTGGTACCAGAACATCTCCTTCAACCAGATATCGAGAGTATAAGACAAGTTCATCTACATCATGATCAACGCCAACAAAGGAACATACCCTACATGAACGACAACGACACTAACAACCCCGGGGTCGCCATTCATCAGCCCGATCAGGAGTTCGGCACTGGAAACTATCCGTATGATACATCTTTGTCAAGTGGTTATCAGCTCCAATCAATGCACTATCCGGATAATGTGCATCTATCCAGACCGGTGTCTATAAGAAGGTTCCCGACAACAAGAGAACACATTCGTCCAGTACATCCTAACACTGGGACGAGGCAGGGTCATCGTGAAGTGACTCTACCGAGTAATGATCGACTACATCGTCATCAAGAAGTGGTTACATCGAGTAACGTTAA